TTTTAAGAGAAAACGGTAATTAATGGGATATACGGGAATTAAGGGTTTTAAGCAATAAGGGACGTTAAAGGGATATAAAGAGGATAATACGATTAATACATTTAGTACCTTAAAGAACGCATATGTAATATAACAGTATATAATAAAGGCTTCGAGCCCTACCTGTGCAGTAGTTTTTAGTACTTAGCATAAATTCGTTCCTAATAATTCCCTGTTTAGTTATATTATAAAACCTACGATCATAAACACGCCACTCTCCAAATCTAACCGCCTCTTTCGACTAAGCCGTTCGTAGGTTACACGACATACCCGATTGAGAAGCGACTGACTCGCCGTTTCGCCCGTCTCAATAGATGAGGTCAGGATGTCGTGTAATCACGTGACTGCGCCCTCGATTGTTGGTAACGCTGGATTTGCTATCAAGTGCCCCTAATTGGTGGGTAATAACGATATGATGTCATAGGAAGACTTTGTATGATTTAAAAAAAATAAAACTACGAAAAAAAGTATATAGAAAGTTTTATTAGGGTTGTAGGACTCCACTATTAAAAAGAATCAAAATTACTTTTTGTTTTAGAGAAGTTAGAATGGTAATAACCTAATTCTAACTATCTTTGAGAAGTCCTATTATGCTAACTTCTCTAAAACCAGAAATGATTTTGAATATTTTTAATGGTAGAGTCCTACAACCCTAATAAACCTTTTTATATGCTTTTTTTTCGTAGTTTTATTTTTTTTAAAAAAAGTACTTTAAACTGTATGATTTAAACAGTGGAAAGTTACCGTATTGCGGAGTATGTGCTATTTGTGATCATTAGAGCTTATCGTTATTGTTACGTAAAAGTATAGTATGTCGACCTGGAGTTTATTAGAGTAACGACGTAATTTTGTCGTTAGAGTTGGTGAGAGCAACGGCGTAATTATGTCGTTGAAATTTATTAGAGTAACGACGTAATTACGTCGTTAGAGTTTATTAGAGTAACTACGTAATCGTGGGGACATATTTAAAGGGTACTGGTTTCCCAGACAAGATAATTTCTGTTTTTCTTGCTAACCCGACTTTGGTTTTTTTCGTCACACCCTGTTCCCACCCTCATATGGAGTTTGACAAGCAATCTTCAGTGAAATTTGAATTGAATTTCTGGGTTGTACTGCTGTGTTCGGATGCATTACACTCGGGTAGGTATTGTTGAAGGAAGGAATGTAATGGGTCATTAGTCGTTGATTCAGTGAATATCGGTAGAGTTGGATCTGTCGGTGACAGCCAAATCTTAGTTTTAGTGGTGACTTATCGGGACGACAGTCATGAAATTATTGGCTAATGTTGTACGCTCGGGTAGGTATCGTTTGGAGGATCGAGCATGACAAAGAGAAAGAGATTTGCAGACGACCTTTCGGTGACAGTCGGGAACTTAGCCTACTACTGGAAAGGATCTATTGCACTTTAGTGATGCTTTCATTGTTATTCGATATTTGCACACCCATAATTGTATTTTATTTTATTGTATTTCATTGTATTTGTTGCTTCTACAACAACACTTCGATGAGGAACAAAAAGCTTCTTCATCATACTAATATTAGAGTTAATTAGGATCAAAGATTAAGTTCAGAATAAAATAGTGTTCTGCAAGAAAAAAATTTTAGAATATGAGTAGTAGTTTCATTGAGATAATTTGAAAAATTTCAATTCTCGCGTTTTTGAAACTACAATCTATTTGATTAATCGTACTCATGTATAAGAAGATTCGCCTAAAATATAATTCAAAAATTATTGTATCGGTTAGGATTACTTTTTAATATGAAGCTATGTACATATATATTTGAGTGTCTTTAACAGGAATAGTATGTCCAAAAATATATGACCCGGTCAGAACTAATATTAAAAGAAAGGTTAACGTTAATTAGTGTTTGTAGTTGATAAATTTTTATAAGCTTAGTTGAGTCGATAATCTTAATCGGCTTAGTCGACTATTATCATGTCAGTATAGCACTTACGATCATTAGTAATTTGTGATTCATCGTATATTTTCATTATACTATATGTCTTTCCACATCATCTTCATTCCATTATGCATTAAACGATTTATATAAGTAAATAAAGTTTGTGTGATATTGGATACGTACGTACGTACGTACGTGTGATTTTTTTTAGCACATATCAGATATCATATGATTGTTAGAGTTAAATTAATAGGACAAAGCTTTTTAATGGCCTTAAAAAATATTTCTCTTATGCTAATGCTAATTCATATTAATAGTCGACTAAGGGTGTTCTCAAGCGACTTAATCAATTGGACAAAAAGTGTCGGGGAATAAATTTTACTTAGCGGAAAATATTTTAAGGGAATCAAAAGTGTTTAGCATCGCAATGAATATTTAGATAAACATTGTAGTTTAATAAAGTTTATACGTAATCAATAAATTTTTATTAGTAAAAATTATTACGCGAGTTTATCATTTCCCACCTTTTTTTTATCCCTGGGTTGGCAAAATTTACAATTAATTGAGTATTCAAAGAGATCGCACAAGTAACCTTATCATAACCTTATCATGCAACGACCGAATATCGACGAAATAAATGTAGTGATAACGGCATTTGATAAAATATTAGTGTATCACTCAAGCATCAATTGCAATTCTTATTTTGATTGATTATAGTAAATGAGCATCGTCACGTTTATTAGCTAATCGCATAAAGAATAACGTTTGAGCAAACTTTGATTACTTCATAATTTGCATATTCGATTCGTTATCAAAAATTCTATGTAAATATAATTACCGTTGTGCACTATTACGATCACTGGCTAATCACATTAAAGTTGAGGCTTGAGAACACCCTAAGTTGATACTTTAAAAAATTGACTAACTTGGACAATTAAGTCGGCTAAGTCAACTAATGCTATATCGATATTGACTTGAAACACTACGATTAATCATTCTAGTTGTCTTTATCGAAAGACCGCAGTTTGTATATGTAAAAAGATTTATATTTGGAAATAGATTTTCTTACGTAATAGTTATATCAACAAATTACTGTAATAATTAACCCATTTCGCCAATAGTCCATTTTACTGACAGTTTAACCCCGATTCAGAGTTATAGTAGGCCTAACCAAGAATAACCTTAATTTTTGTTTTTTTTGACAGAGTTACTATATTTTTAGTAATGCTATGTCGAATGTTTAAAGAAATTAAACGTTTTATATTTTTTTTTCAAGTTTCTGATGACTTTTATGATTAATTAAATTTAAACACAATGAATTTCAATAATTGGGGGAACATCTAAAGTGGAGATAATTTATATAAATTAATATTTTATTAAATTAACTTTAGGATGATTTTCAATCATTATGTAACCGAATTCTCTTTTTTCTGTGGGTATTGTACTGGTCAAAAAATTAGTCAGCTTAGTTGCATGATTTGTATCATCGTAGGCGAAAAATTTTTTGGAAAGGTAATGTTCACTAAAAACTTTAGCAAAAAATCTAAAAAAAGTGTCTAAAATTCTACGGTTAATTTTGTTCAAGAGACAAATCTATTATTATGTGCATATGATACTCAATGCTAAAACATTTGTAGAGAAAGACGAAAATCGTTTAAAAGGCAATCAAAATTATAAAATCCGAGTATTAAATAACCATAAAGTTATGTCAAATTTTAAAAGAGTTATCGAAACTATTTTTACGGATGAATATCATTCCTGCATTCTACGTAAAAGATATTCTGGTTATGGAAAATGCACAAACTGGAACCGAAATAATACTTCGCCAACGTAGTGCCAAACATGTGACCCTTCAAGGTTATTGATAATTGTATTAACTTAAGACTACCAAATACGATAAGTTATTATCATTACGCAATACGTATATATAACTGTTATTTTAATTTACATTTATATGTTTAATAAGTTTGTAGATTATATATAGTCAATGAAATATGATCTTAAAATGTATGGCTAACTCAAGAATACAACTACGAATGAATATATGAGAGTGAGTCAATAGAAATCAAGCAAACTTTTAGTAAAAATGAAAAAGGAATTTCGATTTAAAGCTTCTAAATATGAAAACGTAATTGAGTGGATTTCCTTTTTGATAAAGATTACCATATTTTCGTGAATAATGTGCAAGGGTGTAATTTTGAATTGTTGGCCTAAATTAAGCTTAATTCGGGCCATCATTCGAAATTACACGTGCACGAAAATACGGTAAATAACAATCCAATGATTAATAAAGGTGATTTGAGGAATTTTTAGCAATATGGGTTGGACGGTATCCGAATAACTTTAAATTTACTTAGAGAATATATAAATTCACGCGCACAATCATAGACATTAATTTGTTCTCGTGATATTTGGGTTTCATAAGAAAAGTAGGTTGAAAATTTTATTTGTTAATTTATTTACTGCGTGTATATTTAATTTGATAAAATAATCTTATCCAACCATTTAACACGCTTTACAAGTTTAAAGATTACATACAAACAAAAAAAGAATAGGAAACATAAAATATAGGGGGATAACTCACACAACTATCAGCGAATATATGATAGTATCGATTTAAGAAAATCGAACAAAATGTAAATTTAACCCAATAACAGATGTAGAATTACAATTAAAGTCATAATATCTAACGATAACTATTTTTATTTATATGTGAGTCATATATAGACTCACTGCAAAGAATAAGAACAATAAGAAATTAATATATATTGATAATTTCGAGAAACTAATAACATTTAATAGTATTTTCTAAGACTGTTAACTTTTTGCTAACATTTTAAACATGATACCATGTTATATTTGCACGCATATTTACTATCACGTCCCAGCCAGGGATGGTGTGACTATTGTGAGCTATGGCCAAGTCGCGGCTCGAGCCAAGGCTTAAGCTGTGGCTCCAATAAATATAACGCAAATGGAGCCACGACTTTTAAGCTATCCAAACCACTAAAAACTCTAGCCTTTTCTGTCAACGTTACGCATTTTCTACAATTATGCAATTAGTATTCTTGCCTTTGTGACTTAGTGGGAACGAAATATATCATTCCGGCATCCGTCGGTTCACTAAATGAAGTAATTAAATATCAATTAGATCGAGGAAAGAAAAAAAATAAAAGAAAATATAGCAATAAATACTCACTAGAAAAGGTAGAGAAACAAAAACAAAAGTAAAAAAAACAAGAAAGCCAAAACTTTAAATCCTCTTTTGTACCAAATTTTATCGGCTTCTATTTTTCGTATTTTCTGTTTAAAATGCTCGGATTCTTTTTTGATGCGCTTTATTTCTTCGTCACTAGCTAATATCTTGATTTGTTGCTTTTTATCACTTTCATTAAATTTATTTTCAATTTCTTTTATTTTGTTTTCCAACTGTGTTCGTTCAGACCTCAAATCATTTATTTTAGCTTCTAACATTGATTTATTTTCTTGAAGTTTTGAGGCCACGGATAATGATAATATGGTATCAACATTTTGAGCTGATTCATTCATAAAATGTCCCATTTCTGAAAAAACCTTGGCATAAAATTGGTTTGATCGTTCTTGGATGGTTCTTTTGAATAAATTTTGAGCACATCGTTTTATTTCAATACGTAAATTACCATAGGATTCTTCTAACTGAGTATCTAATTCTATGTAAGAGGTATCTATCATTGTTGTCATATTTGTTTTATATTTATGTAAAACCAAATCCATTCGTGATCTAGGGCATATGGAATGAGACCCTTCAGCTTCAACTTCAAGAGTATCTGAAATATGATCAATCGCAATAGCGTCGATTCCGATCGATTCCTCTGAATCAATTGCAGATGGGCAAGTTTCTTCTTCAATATTTTCAACCTCATCCATAAAATGTTCCGAATCAAAAATATTGAATAAATCAAACGAATCATCTCCTATGATATTCTCTACACTTTGTTCGTCAGATTCTTCAGTAGAATTAAAGTTTGAAGAACTTGATTCGTAGAAATAATGCTGATCCAAACATGATAGGTCTTCGAGATATTTAAGCAGTGGACGAACCCTTTCCATATATTGACTCAAGTCTTCTTTAGCAATTGGTTTTTCGAAATCTAATTCTTGGCTTGATTCATCCAAATCACGTGCACTATTTTCGTCTGAAGAATCTTGACTATTTGTAAAAAACTTTTCTGACACGCTCTCTTCAACTACGTTACCAAAATCGATCAAGTTGGGTGACGGTGTTCGAGAAGACATTTCTTTTTCTGGCTAGAAAATGTTTAAAATATATAAATATGAATATTTCTTTATCACGCATTATACGATCGAACCAAATTTGTGAAAAAGTGCCTAAACAATTTATTTACCTTTTAAAGACGTATATCGATATGAATTAACCAAATGGGAATTTATGTCGATAAAAGTAACTTTAAAAAGGCTAAAAAATGTTCGTAATGAACAAAACAAAATTGTGAAAAATATTTTTTTTGGTATTTAACGTCTTAACTTTCATTTATATAAAAATTTTTTTTTCTGCTTTTAAATAAATATTTTATCTCACCGTAAAAGCCATATGTTTAATTTCTACATGTGACGTGATATATCACACATGAAATCATATATATACTTTACCCCTTAACTTTTGAATATTCCACATAATAACAAATCAATATAGTGATTACATTAGAACTTTAAGCAGGTCGAAAATTCTTTTTTTTTTTCTGGATTTGAAGTGAATTAAAATTTTATATAAAAATTCACCTTCTATTTCATTGTTTTCTGATATCTTTGGTACCAACAACATCGAAATTTTTTTTCCAAACCTTTGACATATGTTTTCTTTTCCACAAAATAACAATTAAATATTCGAAACACTCAAAAGTCAAAAATAAAACTCGCTTAATAAATTAGTTATATAGTTAAATTCAATATTACAATATCATATGCTTCGTTACACGGTAAACAAAATGAAATTGAAAAGTTTACGCGAAAATTCAATCGGGAAGACTCGTTTAAAACTTTATTTGAAAAGTTTTGAAATATATAAAGCATCTATTTAAACACACTGTATTATAAATAATATATAAATTCGAATGATAGTATTTTATTCTCGTACAATAGGTACCTATTATGAACTTATACAGGTTGGAACTCATTGAACTCACCGACCAGGCCGGACTTGTCAAAATTTAATGAAATTATAACACGTTCGTTTAAATAAAAAATATTCAGCTTACCCAGCTAATGATAATTTTATTAGATATATTACTCAGCCTCGATGAAGCTTGATGAAGTTCGATGAAGTTCGACTCAGAATTTTTGGGATTGCCCTGCAAAAAAAGAATACCAATGACGGAGTCTATTGTGAATTTAACTATTACCTGCACTAGTTTCATTTAAATGTTACATGCAAAGTCACTTATCATTTATCATGCTTTAATAGTGTATACTATTTTTGAATTTATATATTTATAAAGTCAATGAAAGTTAAATAATTTTAATTTTATATTCACGAGGTTAGATTTTTTGAGATGCAGGATTAAAATATATTTAAAATATAAACTAATAAAGAATTCCAATTAAATTCCAATTCTCCCCAATTCCAACCCATATTTTTTATCAAAATATCAGTATTTCGCATATCATCTACAAAGATTCTTTGTTCAGGCTGCATTATTAAATCATTATAAGGATTATACGATTTAATGCATAACTCTTCCCAATCAGCTGGAGGTTTTAATTTCCTGAGTTCATTAGGTAATTCAATAAATTGAGCGACCAATCCTGCTTCTACATGCCACTAAATAAAATTATTTATATAAAGTGATTTTTTACGCAAGTTCAAATAGTAAAAAATATACATTAAGCATAGTAAAAAAATTTTTTTTTACCTCGATGTGACAATGAAAAGCCCATATTCCAGGATTATTTGCTTCGAATCTAATCACAATCCAGCTGATCATAAAATAATATCGATATCAGGTTATTTGTAAATTCAGATTTAAAAACTTTTTATCAAAAAAAAAAAAAAAAAGATTCATACCCTCCTTCAGGAGGTATAGTTGCGGTATCACGTTTAATTGGATCGTAGATATTTAATTTCGAAAAATCTGGCTCAGTACCAACCGGACCCGAACCAAGTACCCAGAACACATGACCATGCTAAGATTTATATACGTGAATCCATAGATATGGGAAGGTTATTACACACAATGATATTTAACATACATACCAAGTGAAATGGATGTTCTCCGTCATCACTGTCTAAAAGATGATGAATAAATATAAATATAAGAAGATAATTTCAAAATTCTAATACAGTGTATAAATTAGAAAAATTTGATATTCACTATAAACCACAAGATCAATAACTTTTGAAACATTAAATAGGCCAAAGACATTTTGACTTGGTTTAAATAAAGTTTGGTTTTTAAACATGACTCGATTTATAGTTGGATTTCTTTCATCAATTACGTATGAGGTACCATTAATCATTCCTCTGTTAATATGAGAGGCATCTTCATCGAAAGAAACATTGAGATATATGGTCTGATCAGCTTTTCTTGGGATATTTTCCAAGACAAGTGGTTTAAGATCTGATGTGTTCAAATCGATACAATTATTAAGGCTATTAAGATTATCTGCCCATCCTTTTGTTGTGGGATTAAGATGATTAGCACCCCCGTAATGAACTATGGCTTTTACATAAGGATTGAGATGTACGATTTCAATAGATGAATCATAGTAACATTTAATTTGTAAATCAGCTCTCATCCAAAAATTCGAAACTGGTTTATCAGCAGTTACGATTACTGAATAACGTTGTGCCACGTTAATGATAAGGCGGTGAATTTTGTGTCTTTTTGTCATCATTCCTTCCACTTCGATTACATCCATTTCATGTTCATCAATCGAAAATGTAAAACTTGAAAATGCACTATATAAAAGTTTTAACTCTTTAATATTAAAAAATTTTATGTAAATTTATAATTTTACAAACATTTTGGATTTTAAAATTTACCTAGTATTTATGACTCTCAAACGATATCTCTTTCCATGAACAAAGTTAAACTTTGAAAGACCAGCATTATCAATACATTTATGAGAAACAGGTACCCATGTACAATTATAATTATTCCTTCCGTTAATTAATCCATTATCTGGTTGTGGCTCAGTTCCATCACTTGCTGGAGACAAATAATAACTTAATAAAGTGGATGTTTCATTATGATACCAATCTGATAAAAGAATTATCATTTCTTCATCATAATCATTCTGATATGGATCATCTGGATCTTTGACAATAATGGCACCTAGAACACCGTCAACATACTGAGCCAGATGGTGACTATGACTTTTTTTTTTTTATAGCATTATGCTATAATTAGAAATAAGAATTTATAATAAGTAGTATGAGTTTTGGGATACTTACTACCAATATGTACCACTTTGATCCGGAACTGTAAAATTGTAAATAAATGTTGTATTGTCAGGTATTGGACATTGCGTTTGTCCAGGAACTCCATCATACCAATTGGTTCCCCTTTGAAAAAATCCATGATAATGAATCTGAATGCAAGAACAATTTCTTTTTAATATTCTTAGAAAGATGGACTATCTTAAAAAGAAATAGACGATTAATCAGATCAGATACAATATAAAATTTACCGATGTTGGTTCTCCTAAATTATTAATAACGTGAACTACGAGTCTATCACCCTTTGTTACAACAAGAGTTGGTCCAGGATATGTTCCTGGTTATTTATTTTATTTAGACAAAAAAGTTAAAGCGGTTTTAATTGATTAAAAGATGACTTTGTATTTCAAATTATAAATTATAAACCATTTACAGTCCAAACAACTCGTTCAAATCCATCTGGTGAAAGTTTTGCTTTGTAAAGATGAAGATAAAAAGTTTTCGTCTCTGGAACGTAAGCACTCTTTTTGATTGGTGATGCTGATATAAATGCTAAGCTATTCAATAAAGGGAGTACGCATAAAATAGTCCATAATATTAAACTTTTAGAGAGCATTACGATTTAAAAACAATTAACGTAACTATCTTGATCAAATATTTATATAAATAATGAAAGATAGTGATAAAAGAAATTGAGAAACATTTTAATGCTAATAAATCCAAATGAAGCTTAGGTCACTTACCTTTTTGATCATGACTTTCTCAAAAGGATTATCGGTTACTAATACGTGAAACAGTACACACGAAGATTTTTTTTTTTTGTTTTGATTAAACTTCATCTAAAAAAAATACATCTATCGCATGTAGCCTATTGTCAGAAAATTTTTTTTTTGTAATATAGAAAAATTCTTCAAATTTCTATATTTATTATTACATATATATTTTATATATTTCTATGACTTTTACTAAAACGCACCTATCGCTATGGTGTTTTATACCGATAAATACATTATCTCAAAAACTGGCTAAGCGGGGACGATGATTTTCTGCGGTGATTATTTTCTGCGATAATTTTATAATAATAAATATCCCATTTTTATACAGCAGATTGATCACAGAAAATAATCACCGTAGAAAATCCTTGTCCCTAGTTCTAAGTAAAAATGTTCTATACCCAAAAACCTCCCTTCGCTATCCTCTTAAAGGCCAGAGTTATCATTCTGCGAAGATCATTGGACGGCGTGTGGCCCATATGTCACGAACTTGTGAGATAACTCATGTTTATCAAGTCTATCGTATGACGTCCCGGGTCCCTGGTCCCGCGATGTAAGACCTCCTATCCTCTTTGAAAGAGCTGAATAATCTTAAGATTAACTATATATTTGTTGGGATCATTAATAATAAGATTGTCATGTATCAGAATATTGGTGAGTGATTATAAATTATTCTGAAGTTGTTGAAGTCTAATATAAGTACTTTTTTTCAGAAAGTTAGATGGATTGAGTCTTTTAGTAAAGTTTGTAATATGGTGTTATAATTGAATGTTCTATATACTGTATTATAGATATTGTAACGTTAAAGATGAAGTAGTATGCTAGTAAAGATTATGTGATTGAGTTTGGTTTTATTTTTAACAAGTTCAATATGATTTGTGAGAATTTTGTTGTATGTATTTTGACTAAGAACAATACTGTGAATATAATACTCAATTATAAGAATAATGAAAATATTAATAATGTATCCTGCATGTGTATTAGTGATTTGTTTAGTGCTTATAATTTTAATAAGATATAATGATTCTATAATAATAAGTTTAGTTTGTTTAATTTGTTTGTTATTTAGTGTAAATCAATATCTAAGAAATTTAAATGGTTCATTTGATAGATGAAAATTAAAAGAATAATTATTGTATGTAATAGAAGTATAGTTAATTAAGGTATTGTTAGTTGTTAATAAAGACTTAAAAGGATAAATTTGAATATTAGTCATGTTAAAAAAAGATTTAACTATTGAAAGATTTGTAATAGCTTTTGTTATGAGAATGTAACCTATAAAGTGTCATCTATATAAGCAAGAACTGAACAATGTGAATTAGTTTTATTATATGTTTTATATTTAAGATTAGTAGATCAGTAAACTTATATAATATAATCTTTGAAGATGTTGTAAATATAAGTAATAAGTGGGTCATAATAAATCCTCTATAAAAGTAAAATAATAGTTTTATTTTAATCAATTCTGTTAAGTACCAGATATGACAATGTGAGACCAAAATTTGTAATAACTTGTTTTTATCAATTAGTAAGTAGATTAATAATAATATTAGTAATAAAATAAGATATTAAAAAGACTTTTAAAGAAGAATTAATTTGACAGAATTATATATAGGGTTCTGCAAATGCCCATGCCAGGCAAATTGGCACTATGCCATGCACTAGTGCCTCATGTTATGCCCATACCTATAAGCTCAAAAGTGTCAAGAATTATTATGAGCATGGACATAAATGCTAGGCATTTTTATAATTATGAATACAAATACTAAGTACTTTATAGGCATAGACACAATATGCTAAGCAAAAAGATGCCAAAAAGTGCCAGGCACAAGTGCCAGATAGTACCAAATATATAATTAATTAATAAATACTAAATTTTTGTGCCTATACTCATGCCCATGTCAAGTTTTCATTCTTGTACCTATGCCTATGCCAAATTTTTATACTAACATTCATGCCTATACCAAAGCTTTTATATCTATACCCATGTCTGAATTTTTGTTGGACATAGACATGAGCCCAGGTTGCAAATCTCTAATTATATGCTTTACTTATATTTTGAGATATAAGCCAAATTGATTTCTGATTATATAATACATTCTTAATGAGGTTATTAAGTATATAAATAGGTAGTTCTTTAGATAGTAGTTTGATTTTAAAGTTTTTTAGTGCCAAGAAGGATGGATCAGTTACTAGGGACAAAGGTTTTTCTCTATATGATATATATTGTAGAGATAATGTTTAGTTGATATCATTTTGTAGGTTGTGTCAGTTAAAGATTTGCTATTGATAGAACCAGACTAGTCTATTTATAATTTGGTATACTTGTTTTATTGTAGTTTTCAGTAAATATATGCAAAAATTGCTAAGAAGTTTTGGAACAAATTGGTTATATAAAAATTTTTGTAATATAGAGTCTAGTAAAAAGATTTTGTTTTGTATCTCTTGGATCTGAAGTTCTTTGTCAAGAGTAATTGTAATCATATAGTTATATATTATTGCTTTTAGCACTAAGAGAAGGTAGATATGTTGTTGCTTGTCAAGTGTAAAATAGTTGTGTAATTGAATAAACTGTATAAGGTTAATTAGATCAACAAGCGAAGAGTTATTGGTATATATTTTTCTGTTAGTATAAAGATTTGTCAAGATTAGCACAAATGTCAACAAGATTAATAGAGTATTTAAATAGGAGGGCCATAGGTTGGTAAAGCAACCAAAGATAATATGAAAGTGTTAAAGTTGGTATTTTATCACTATATAAGAGTTATTTTCTACTTTTTGTCAACCATTTGTTATATAAAGTGTTATAGTTTTCTTATTGAAGTTAGCCTTTGTTAAGATGTCCCAAAGTGGTACTAGAGAATTAGTAAAGAGTTTGGCTAAAGTTGAATATATTTTTTAGTTAGAAGATTAATATATTGTAGCTGGTGTTAAGACTAGTGCCTTTTTGAAGTTATTTAGATCAATATGAATCTTTTTTTTGCAGTCTACTTGATTGTTGTAGATTGGTTTTGTTGCATTAAAGTAATAGTACTTAGATGAGTAAGTTATGTTTTTAAGTATACATTCTTGACAAGCTGTTAGTATATTGTTAGAGTATAAAATATAACATCATGTTTTTAAGTTTTTGTTAAGAGAATTGTGAATTTTTTCAAAGATCTCATCCTTAGTAATTATTCAACTCTTTTTGTTAGGTGTCCAATTGGCCAAAGTATATGAATTTAGTTGAGGTAATATTAAAGATGAATTTGTAGATGCAGTTATTAGATTTTGCATTAAGTAAAACCAATGAGAACATTGACCTTGAGATATTTTTTGATATTATAATAAAAATTATTTCATGTTAAAAGTTCTGTATTATTTGCATTCAAGAATTGTTTAATGCTTGTAATATTGTAATTGTTTAGTTTTTCTTTAAGGTATAAAGCTCTAGGATGATTTAGAAAAATTTGATTTATAGGTGTACTTAAGAACTTCTTTGAATATTATCATATCTATCAATGCTTAATGTGAGACTATGTTATTAGCAGATATTAGAAACCATGCTATAAAGAAACTTATGAATTTTGCATAACAAATGGGTTGCAATTATTGTGAAAGTATCTTTGAACTAATTGGTACTTACCTAATCAATAAAATTTGTGAGCTTGGTCTGTTAAATCTGTAATACCTCTAGGTAAGAATAGTAAAATTTTTTTTATTAAGTCAATCTCTTTTAATGAACCTCTTTATAGCAAACTTTGGAAATATAAAATATTTAAAATTTATGTTAGTTAGGTATTAAAAAAAAAACAGTATTAACTTTTTAATTAAAATTTATATTCAGTATCTGCACAGTTTACAAACATTCCTATGTATCAAAAAAAAAAACTGTGTATACTATTTACAAAATAATAATTTTTTTCTATATATCTACTCAAAAAATATGCACAAAATTTTGTAACTGGGCACTGTACACAGTTTGCACAGTAAACATAATCACTGTAAAAACAATGATATAGTTTCTTTTTGCATAAAGAACCATCAGTTTGTTATAGGATTGACTATATACAATTAAAAGCAGTTTTTAAATTAATGTAAATATTTATTATAATTATTATAATTATTATAATTATTATTCTTACATTTATAAAAAATAATTATAAAAATTGAGACCCATACTGGGAAGTTATAAAGCAGCTTTATCTTTAATAATTTAATAGTTCTAGATTGGATCTTCTATTTTGGATATTATTTAATAAAATAGTTTTATTACAAAAAAATTAATTATTGCAAATTTTAAATGGCACAATAAATCCATATTGGTGGGAGGATTTTAAAAGAGAATAGAAGTATGTAGGTGCAAGTAAAGAAAAAAGTAAAGAAATATGTGCTAATAAAAAAGAAAAAAGAAAGTATACTAATACAGAAACAAATGAATTATCCAATTCAGTTGTTTTATACTTTACTCAGGTCTTCTGTTGAATTTGTAGTTGTTCAAGTTTGTTAGTAATTGCTTTTTATTATATAAACACTTAGTAAGGCAAGTTATAAATATGTATAATGGTATGTAATGGTGATTAATTAAAGATGATTTTGAATATTGAACTACCTTATCTTTTTTGGTCATAAAAAATCTTAATAGTAATAAAATTATAAAAAATATTTTATCTATAACAGTTACATCTATTGAAGTTTCAGAGTGTATTGATATTGATGTTAATAATTTTGAATATGATTATTTTTATGTAAAAAAGAATTGGTCTTTATTTGAGCAAATAGTAAAAAGAATCCATATCGAATGAATGGTTAATAATTGGTGTTATGTCTGTGCCATGATGAAATAGAGTAAATTAGTAAAAAT